CATTGTAAACAGAATATTTACATAAAAATAGCATAGCAAGGGTTAGCTATGAATAAAGAATATAAAAAGTATAACAATAAATAAATAAATAACTTATAGAAGTATTTTATTTTAGATTAAATAAGGATGGTGTTAATTGCTTAGATGTTTAATTTGCATACTAATATACATGTTTCCAAATTAACCTAAATTTGCACAAATGATATGCATAGTAATTCTGTGTAGGTATTTGAAATTTGTACGGAATGCAGTTTCTTGTTTGTTTTCTTCATACAGGAGATCCATGTGAAAACTATCCAGACGTTAGCAGAATTAACCTCCAGATGTATAGAACAGTTTCACAAAGCGGCAGAATTAATGCTGCTTCACCAAGCCAAGGAACACTCCAAAAACCCAATCCAAATTGCAGCTAGCCTATCTAAGTATGTTATTTTCAACACCATGTTTACACTATGAAATTATTTGTAAGATTAGTCTTTGAGTGTGTTTATATATACCAGCCAGCTGATTAAGTATAAAGTTCTTATAAAAGTACATGATTGAGTGAACAATTACTGATTTACAAATATACTATACCTCTGTCCATTTAAACTCCATAAAAATGTTGTATTTTGTTTAAGTGTAAACCGAGTCAAGGATTACAAATACACTGATTACAATCCAGTTGAAATTAAAATCTCTAAATGATGCCTCAGATCATAATTTTAAACCTTTGTCCAGATTATCACATTTGTTTTGACAAAAAAACTGTTGTATGCCCATATAAAGTTATGATATGCCTATATATGGTAATGATGTGATGTCATCATGACCATATTTAGGCATATAAAATGTGATAGTGTGAACTAACACAATATTTGAATTTAACTGAACTATTTACAATGAATAATATAAAAATCAGTTTTTACTGTGTACTGTGGGTCACAGATAAATTTGAATTTAAAATCAGTCAAAATACAGGAAAATACCTCAACAAAAATAAAAAAGTTATAGCTCATTTAAAAGGAATAAATAAATTATATTACTACTATTATATTATTACTACTATTATATTATTACAACTATTATCTACTATTATATTATTACAACTATTATCTACTATTATATTATTACTACTTTTATATTATTACTACTACTATACTAGAAATTGCAAATTGCAAGTGAAGTGCTGCGAAGTACAACTGCATATAAATGTTCTTCGAACAAAATTATTTATGCGAGTCAAGTGAAAATAATGAATAATAAAAATATAACAAATAATATGAGACACGACCCATTGTCTATATTAGAACACTTCTCATTGGGTAACAAAGTCGTAATTTTTCATTTTTGTCAAGAAGTGTCTATAGTGGTGAATTATGGTTTAGGTTTTTTTTAATAAAGTTTCAAAAATGCCTATGTATGTGGAAAATGTAGTTGATTACCAACGGTTTACAATTTTTATTTTGAAGACTGCATGGTCTAGGAAGTGTACATTTTTTTATGGGGCAAGTTTCCAAGGGCGGGTTTTCTAGGGGTGAGTTGACTGCCAAAGAGTGTTACCAAAGTGCGAGCCAGCATGTTATTTGATCACAAGTGCGAGACATCGCAAGTGTGAACCAGCGAGCCATAAGTTGTGCGAGGTATCGGCTGAGATTTGTGGAGTACAATTAAAAAAACAACTATAGGTCTAATAATGAATTATTGTGATGTTAAATAGACAATGTTAGCTATCAAGGAGCGACGTTGTTTTTCATTGGGACCTTCGTCCCTTCAAGGCTAGGCCTATACCATCCTAGCTAGTCTAGGCCTAGAGTATGATAAGGATAGCGCGACATGCAGACGTTGGTACGTGTTGGTTAGTCTACAAACGTCGCCTGAAGTAATTGATTTTACCCGGCAGAACGAAAGAAGGAAACTCCGCTTTTCAGTCGTCTTAGACCCTTGTTTTTTGACAAACAATGACCTTTCAGAGGTCAAATTGCTGTCAAGAATATGAATTGGCTGCTTCGCAGCAATTATTACTACTTTTATATTATTACTACTTTTATATTATTACTACTTTTATATTACTACTATTATATTATTACTACTATTATATTATTACTACTATTATATTATTACTACTTTTACATTATTACTTCATGTTTTTGTCAAATACAATTTTATAGTCTGGGCAGGACTAATATGAATTTAACTGAAATTGTAACTGTAGTACTTACAATAAATAAAATAAATCAGATTTTACAGTGTACGCAAGTGTTCACTTTGGTCAAAGTTAAGTTTGAACTTAAATATAAGCCATTGTGTAACCATCATGTGCTTTCTTGTCAAAGGTTAACAAGTGTACTATGCTGCGAGGTGAGTAGCCTTACATCCTCATTCTGTGAGCAGCTGACGGTTGCTGCAGACGTCATGGGAGAGGAGGATGATGTGAACCCATTTATTACAAATTCATACTTGGAGGTAAAAACATTTTTTTACGTTTTACTTTCTTTTCTTATCTAAGTATGTTCTTTTCAACACCATGTTTACACTATGAAATTATTTCCAAAGATGAATTTGTCTCTGAGTGTGTTTACATGTAATGATGACATTCATAATGGTGGGTGTGGCGTAGGACGTTGAGCTCTAATTGTGCAGTATTAGCGGCAGGCAGCGAGGGCTATGCTTTGTAGTTACAGTATTTTTATTGGTTTTTTTTTCTATTTTTCCTAGATTCAATTCATTATTTTGCAATAAACTTAGCAATTATCTATACACATTTTTACAAAGCTTAACCCTGCACTCTCTCACTCTTTCCTTAAATGCATCTCATATTTGATTATACAGTGTTGTTAATAACTATATATTAGTAAATAAACAGAAGCAAATAAAAAGATGTTTTTTTGTTTGCTTTGTTGCCAGGGCTCCAACAGCATGTCATACATTCAAGATGCATTTCAGCTTCTTCTACCAGTTCTACAAGTTGTTGCCATCGAGTATGAAGAATAAAACTACTAAAGAAAATATTTATCAGGTATTTAAGACAATGAATTGAGAATAGCCTGATTCAGATAAGCCAATGAAAGCTGATGTTTGCACATGCAGTCCTGTATTTCGTTATGGATCAAAATGCATATTTCCAAACACATCACTGTAAAAACTGTTTGGTTGTAATATCTAACTGGACATTTCAGTAATTACTGTCAGTTTTATACTGTATATGTGGAGGTGGTTCAGTGCAGTGGAGATGGGTTGGTTTCCCAACCATTTGGTCAGGGTTTCAGTCCTTCGCTGAGCATTTTACTTGTGTCTAAGCAGTGTACTACATTGCCTCAGTCTACCCAACTGTATCAATGAGTACCAGAAAATTCCTGGAAGTAGCCAGTGTTGGACCAATGTCCCACTGGGGGAGCATCGCCTCCGCTGCTCGTTACTTTTCACTGGGAATAAGCACCAGCCCACATGAGCCCCGTAGCTCAGCTAAGATTTGCTTTACTTATGTGTGCAGTATAATAACCTCAAGCAAGGGATTGCGTATACGAAAAAATATTTGTTGCAGCAACTCTGAAAGAGAGACGTATCGTCTTATGTACCTTGAAGCATAAGTCTAATTATAAATCATTTATGATCATTATTTTCATTTTCACACAATTTGCCTATGCCCAAGCAGACAATAATTAGTGTCTGATAATTTTTGCATCTCGTGTTTTCTTAGTCCGTTGATGTACATCGCAATGTTTTCATTGCTAAGCAAAGCTCTGATTGTACTCGGCACACCTTACAAATGTTGCTCTACAGCATTTGTGAAAATGAATAAAGCTTATATTATCTAGGGAGGGCCAAAAAAGGCATGTGTATATGAGATAGCAAAGAAATAGATTTACTATCGTACCAACAATTTTAAGAGGTCTAGAACCACACACATACACACCTACAGGTTTACACTCATGCACTCACACTTTATACCAGCTCCACTCAAATATCAGTTGCGAGGTTTTTTCACAACTGACTAAGAGCATTTATCTGGATTCCACAAGTATTTTTGAATGTATAGTACTGAGTATGCGCAGTGTTGAAGAATACAAACTGCAGTGTACGTAATGATATGCTGTTGTCGTGTCGTAATCGTATCTAATGTAAATGTGGTTTTAGGTGGGTTCAGCAAAAAATAATTTAAGTTGCATATCATATAAAGCCCAACATGGACAGCGCCCTACAACACAGCCTGGCGCAATTTATCGTCGAAGACAGTCCTAGGGTCATTGTGAGAATATTAAACATGTTTAATATTCTATGACGCAAGTGTTCCCGGCGCAGACCTATTTCATCAACATTTAACTTACAAAGACCGGACGTGACAGCAAATCGTGTCAGACTGCGATGTACGACGCTGAGTTGAGGTTTAAACATTTCAAGACTAAAGACGCATTGAACAGTAGTCGAAATTGCTTAAATTGCATATTTTATTAAATACTGTACTTAGCTTTCAATTGAAAATTCAATAAGAGTTTTCTCTCAATTTCACAGATGCAATTTATAAGACAGTTCTTATGTCCTTGTTACCAACTATAAATAAATTTTAGGATAATCCAAGTGAAACGCTTGTGAATTTATTAAATCATGTTTTCTACAGGATGCCATCACAGATGGTGTATCTTATACTGTAGTATTATACTCATTTTAACATTAACATATAAGTTAAGAAAATAATGGAACACAACAATATATATATATATATATATATATATATATATATATATATATATACATATACACACACTCTCTCAC